TTACACAAAAGCTAAGACTTTGTTTAATTCATCATTATATCCGAAGTTCTTGGAAGGGTATTGGCACTACTATATATGTAAAAGGATTTTACTAAATGAATGATTTCAATGGATCTTAAAATGGCTAAGGTCTTAAAACATGCATTAGATCATGTTAATTGAATATTAGATTTTCATTTTATCATCAATGATTTCCTTCATTATTTTTGTCATTTCAGATACCTTTCAGGAACATCAGATCATGGAAAATAGGAATAATGTTACTGAGTTTATTCTCTTGGGACTTTCTAAGAATAAGAAAGTCCAAATTCTCTGCTTTCTATTTTTCTTACTCTGTTACCTGGCTATCTGGTTGGGGAATTTGATTATTATGACTTCCATCACATGCAGTCAGCTAATTAATCAGCCCATGTATTTCTTCCTTAATTACCTTGCCCTCTCGGACCTCCTTTACACCTCCACTGTGACACCCAAACTCATGACAGACTTACTGACAGAGAAGAAGGTCATTTCCTATAAAAACTGCATGACACAGCTGTTTACCACACACTTCTTTGGAGGAGTCGAGGTCTTCATCATCACAGGAATGGCCTATGACCGCTACGTGGCCATCTGCAAGCCACTCCATTATGCCATCCTGATGAACAGGCAAAAGTGTAACTCAATTCTCAGAGCATCCTGTGCAGGGGGCTTTCTGCATTCCCTTGGATTGTTTCTTCTTACAATTTTTTTACCGTTCTGTGGCCCCAATGAAATAGATCACTATTTTTGCGATGTATACCCTTTGTTGAAACTGGCCTGCACTGATACACACAAAATCGGTTTCTTAGTCATTGCCAATTCAGGCCTGATGGGACTGGTGATCTTCGTGGTTTTGATGGGCTCCTACTTTATGATATTATACAATGTGAGAGCATATTCTGCCAAGAACCGCCACAAAGCACTTTCCACTTGCAGCTCCCACATCACGGTTGTGATCCTGTTTTTTGCACCTGTCATCTTTGTTTACATTAGACCTGCCACAACTTTACCAGAACATAAAGTGTTTACACTCTTCTACACAATCATTGTCCCCATGCTCAATCCTCTTATCTACACACTTAGAAACACAGAAATGAAAAATGCCATAAAGAAAGTTTGGTGCACTGGAAGGTTTTGGAAAGGGAATCCAATGATTTGAAGGCTATTCTTTGGATGTGTATGGGTGTCATCTTATCACACATTCCCTTTTTTTGATTCCTTGCTGGTGGAAAAATTAGTCAGAATATGTAAAGGCCAACCCTTAAACATCAACGTCCAATCAGTGTGTTCCCCCTTCATATTTCTTTGCTGGTGGGCTTCACTTGTTTTCATCCTTCACTAAGGTTTAAGTTCCATGAAAGTAGGGGTCATGTCATAGTTTCTTCACTGCTAATTCCCTAGTAGCCAGAAAAGTGTATAGCACATATTTGATGCTCAAATAAATATTTATTGAATGAATCTATAAATATCTTGTCACATAGCTCGGTTTCTCATTCCTGAGAATAAGAACTTCATGAAGGAATCACCTTCATGGTTTAATGATTCACTTGGACATTAGACACCACCATTGTCCTGATAAGTATCCTTCTTCACATATTTCTCTATTTCTATATATTTTGGCTCCATAGAGCCAAGAAGGGATTCCACTCTGGATCCAATCAGACAAGACTTCTCAAAAAGTGTATGGGTAGCAAAGATGAGTAGGCTGAAATCATGCTGTTTTAACTGGTTTGGCATTCAATATATATGATCAAGGAGTAAACCACAGCTACCTGTCCGTGGAAAGTTAAAAAATATAACCTTCAAAATTAAGGATTTTTTCAAAGTAAAAGATTTTTTTATTTACTATCTAATTTCTATTTTAAAATAATCTGAAAATAATACCTGACATGAACTATAGAACAGATTTTTGGGGGTAGATAGATGATGATGATGACAGATAATAGATAGATAAATAGAAAGAGAGATAGATGAGAGAATGAGTACATGAGAGGAGGGGGAGAGGGAATGGGACATGTAAGTAGCTCTCTGATGGAATTTAATGGAAAGAAGTACATCTTTGGAGAAGTTGGATTCACTCACCCAACTGTGGGTTTGGATGGATTTTTTTGTTTGTTTGTTTTAAAGCAGACATTTCTCAGTTGTATCTAGTCTGAAAAGCTCATCTGACTCCATCTTCTACTCTTTCTTTTATATATGTTACTATCAAGAGTGAAATCTTTGATCTGTTTTTTTTAACTTTATTTTATTTTTCCAGTGTTCCAAGATTCACTGTTTATGCATCACACCCAGTGCTCCATGCAGTATGTGCCCTCCTTAATACCCACCACCAGGCTCAAAGACTTCTTTCTTGCTGGAAGCCTTGAAAAAAACAAAACAAAATGAAACAAACAAACAAACAACAACAAAAAAAACCTTTGACATTTTTTATCAGTTTATATAAAAATTCTCTTTCTTTACAGAACTACTTAACTCCCCTTGTAGGTTCTGGTTTGATATTTAGAGACATGAACCTCTGAATTTCAGTTTACTCATCTGTAAAATAAAGCAGATAATTAGATCATTAACTCAAAATTATAGTTTCGGAGTTTGCTTTTTTTGTTTTTTTTTAAGAAAAAAATCCTCACAAATACCTTGAATTGATTGAAATCATGTTTTATTATAAAGTTATTTAAACATGTATGAAATAAAATCTTTAAAAAAAAAATGGGACACTTGGGTGGCTCAGTCGGTTAAGCATCTACCTTCAGCTCAGATCACAATCCCAGAGTCCTGGGATTGAGTCCCACATTGGGGTTCCTTGCTCAGCAGGGAGTCTGCTTCTTCCTCTGTCTGCCACTCCCCCTGTTTGTGCTCTCTCTCTCTGTCAAATAAATAAAATCTTTAAAAAAAAAAATAAACACGAATTGACATAAGTCACAAAAATTTTACGCTTATCGTTATAAACTAAAAATGTCAAGTATAAAATGAAATATTTATGTTAAAATTTTAATTTAAATGTTTCACAGAAATTAATGTACAGATGCTAAGCATGATAACAAAAATAAAAATTTATTCTGAGCAGTTTCCTTTCTTAGAACAATATCCATTTCCTTTAATTTTTTTTTTCATTTCCTTTCATTTTTACAATTACCTTATGAGGTAGTTTCTATTACCTGCAATGTACAGAGGGAGAAAAAGAGGAGGAAATTGTATTTACCTTTCCAGGATCCCTCAAGTAGGAAGATTTTTTTTCATCTACCTGCTTAATTATCAGCTGTTATCAACATCATGATTTTTTTGAGCATTAGGAGAAATCATTTGAATCTTAATTGTCATCTCTATTATTAGTTTATTTTGCAATACCAGTTATATATAATCAAAATCATTTCATTAGGCAATAAATTTAAGAGTTTAACCCAAAATCAAGTTTTAAAAATAAAGCATTTGTTAATTTTCTCACTGTTTCAAGAGTTACCTTTAGGGACACCTGGGTGGCTCAGTGGGTTAAAGCCTCTGCCTTCGGCTCAGGTCATGATCCCAGAGTCCTGGGATCCAGCCCGGCAATTGACAATCGGGCTCTACGCTCAGCAGAGAGCCTGCTTCCCTTGCTCTCTCTCTGCCTGCCTCTCTGCCTACTTGTGATCTCTGTCTGTCAAATAAATAAATCTTAAAAAAAAATTAAAAAAAAAAGATTCAGTTAGGTTATCAGCTGCTCTAGTAATAATTCTCTTGAATTTTTAATACGTTTATGAACACGCCCCTTATAAAGACAATTCTCCAATCATATTTTCTATTTGAACTTCTTTAAAACTTTTCTTTACACACTGTGCCATGACCTTTTTCTGCTGCTCCATTTACATATTCCTTCACATATTGGGTCTAGGTTCATTTCCCCCCATAACCTGTGCAATATAACACCTTGTTCTATTCCATCATATTCATTTCATGACGTCCAACGAGCCCACTGTCACTGACTTTACCTATTTGAAAAACTTTTTCAATTCTACAGGCATCTATAGATACCCAGATGTACAGATATATAGACATGCTCTAGAAATTGGAAATTCATTGTTTTCATTTTGATGGCAATGGGAAAAATAAATTTAAACATATTTTAGGGCAAGTAGTTTCAATACTGGCACTTCCATTTTCTCTTTACAGTTGCATTGGCTAAAAGTATAATACATGGAGATCCTGTAATTTAATTGCCACTAACCTTTTTACTAGGGCATCCACGCTTCTCAGACATTTAAGAGTAACCAAACTTCCTACTCTTCAGACACCGTATCATCTTAAGTCTGTTGTGTCAGCACAATTGTCATAGACCTCATTTTACACTCGGACAAGGTTCGGTTTGGAGAATGAATTATATGGATATCCTCTTTATTACCAATATAACTTTTTCATTACTATTTTATAGCAAATATTTCTATAATTTTCGAAATGCTGTGATTTTGAAATGACTATGTAAGTTATTTTAGAAAAACTCTTCTCACTTTTATAAAGCCATTATTTCATACAGTATTTTTTAATGCTAAGACCTTATTTAAATAATTTTGGCTTTTTAAATTGTTGCAGTGAATATGGAAACTCATGAACTGAGTGAAAAACATGAATCTGAGTTTCTGACGCTCCTTTCTGGAAGAAAGCACCAAGGACACTCTATGCCTAGGATAATTAACACTAATGCAGTTATGTACATATGAAGATTCATTCGTGAATCTGAAGCATAGGGAGATTAAAGGGGGACCTCTAGTTAGTAACTTAAAAATAAAATCCAAAGGAAAAAATGTATCAAAAGAAACGTAACAGAACTTCAACAAGAAAATGATAACTCAGATTACTAGGGAGAAATGTGAGTAAGAAACAAATCAATAAATAAAGAAAATACTTCAAGATAAATTATCATATTAATGCAGTGACACCAGTTGCTATGCTTATTTTTCTTACAGCAAAGTTCATGGTTTTTCAAGTACAGTAACTATCATTTAAGTAGGCTATATAATGATTTGCCTTCCACTCAAACACAGTTTCTGGCACCACACTTTCCTCAAGGTATTCTTCATCTCTGTGTTTCTGAACGTGTAGATCAGAGGGTTGAACATGGGCGCAATGATGGTGTAGAAAAGAGCAAACACTTTGTCTTCCGGAAAAGTCATAGCCGGTCGAATGTAAATGAAGAGAACGGGCACAAAGAACAGAAGCACGACTGTGACGTGGGAAGTGCAGATGGAAAGAGCTTTGGAGAGGCTCTCTGCAGGGTAAGCCCTAAGGGTGTATAATATCAGTAAGTAAGACAGCACCAAGACCACAAATGTCACCAAACCCATCACGCCTGAATTGGCAACCACGAGGATCCCAACTCTATAGGCATCTGTGCAGGCCAGTTTCAGCAAAGGGTACACATCACAAAAGTAGTGATCTATTTCATTGGGGCCACAGAAAGGTAAACTGATGGTAAGGAGACATTGGATGAAAGAATGCAGAAATGCCCCAGTACAGCTAGCAATGACGATGGCATAACACCTCCGCCTGTTCATGATGGCGGCATAGTGCAGGGGCTTGCAGATGGCTACGTAGCGGTCATAGGCCATCCCTGTGAGGATGAAGACTTCAATCCCCCCGAAGAAGTGCATGACAAAAAGCTGTGTCATACAGCTGGTGTAAGAAATCATGTTACTTTCTGCCAGCAAGATGGTAACTAGCTTGGGTGCCACCGTTGAGGTATAACACAGATCTGAGAGGGCAAGTTTATTGAGGAAGAAATACATGGGTTGGTCAATGAGCTGACTGCATGTGATCGAAATCATTATGAGCAAGTTTCCCATCCAAATACCTATGTAGCAAAATAAGAAGAGTAGAAAGCGCAAGTGTCTAATCTTCTTATTCTGGGAAAGTCCCAAAAGAACAAATTCAGTGATGTTGTTAATATTTTCCATGGTCTAATGCAGTTAAGTCTCAAAGGTTTGCCTGGGTGGGGGGAAAAAATGACAAGTCAGTGTGAGAAATACTGAGCAAAGTATAGTGTGAATTAGAGAGAGTGTTGTAAAAATAAATTCACTTATTTAATTGGCTTCCTATGGTATATTTTAATTCTAAGCTTTGTATGGACAAATTACCATACAGTATAACAGATCAGGCTATTTTGTAGAGTGAAACAGAATACTATTAATAGTCATACTTCCTCGGGATCCTAAACAAAGATGTGCAGTCATCTTATGTAGGCGTTGCAAAGGAGAGCTTAGGGAGGAGGCACTTATTTTCCTGGAGTAGTTCACCTGCTTGATAGGTTGAAATAGCCAGACTTGGGCGCCTGGGTGGCTCAGTCTTTAAGCATCTGCCTTTGGCTCAGGTCATGATCCCATGGTCCTGAGATCAAGTCCTGCATCCGATTCCCTGCTCAGTGGGAAGCCTACTTCTCCCTCTCCCACGCCCCCTGCTTGTGTTCCCTCTCTTGCTATCTCGCTCTCTGTCAAAAATAAAAATTAAAAAAAAAAAAATAGCCAGACTTAAATCCAGGTAAGTGAGAGGAACTGTGAAATTGCAAGGTACCATCTTGTGTTTATTTAACATTCCATTTTTTTGTTGTTGTTGAATCACTAAATTCTATACCTGAAACTAATATTACACTATATATTAACTATCTAGAATTAAAAAAAAAAAACTTGGAAAAATAGATAAATAAAATTCAATTTTATGGTGGAATTTGCATTTTTAAAATATTGCATAAAAATCTTATTGTCTTCATTATTGAATTGTTTACACACAAGGTGAGTAACCCATTTATCCCACTCTAGTCCTGACCCCTGCTTGAAACCACTTAATATTTAACAACATTAAAGAGGGCAATAATGAAAATATGATAGCAGCTCAAGCTTAAGTGTCTGTGACATTTCTATTGACTTAAATAGATGTATGAGATTAATTAATTTAATTAATTAAATACTTAATATTGAGAGTTAAAGACTTTCTGCAGGACTAAGCTAGAGCAATACATAAAGTGACTAATGGCACATACTTGAGACACACTGGATTTCAATCACTGCTTTTTAAATAAATAAAAAAATACAAGTAGCAAAATTTCATTAATTAACAAGCAGGATAGTTTGGAACTCTTTTTGTCTCTTGCTCTTTCTCTCATGTTAACTAGATCCCATATTGGCAAGATAGGCAAATATTTCAATGACTTCCCTTATTTCCCTCAGCTGAATATTCTTCTTAATAATTCTCCAAAGTATCATCAGACACCCAAAGAATTCATAATCATGCTATTTAAATTAGAACATTTCCAAACCTTCACATTATTTACAATGTCTCCTTTGTTAATATTAAAGTTACTGAATTTGAGATTTACAAGATCCTGATTTCATGTCTGTGTGATTTAACGAGAGACCTTTTCAGAAGCTACAAGGACTAATTCCCCTGTTAAGGATAGCACGTATTGCATGGAGCACTGGGTGTGGTGCGTAAACAATGAACCTTGGAACACTGAAAAAATAAAATAAAATCAAGATGTTAAAAAAAATAAAATTCTAGCACAAGACAAATTCATGAGCTATAACTATAGTCGGGTTCCTTTACTTCCTCCCAGCCCCTTCTTTCCCTATCTGGTAACTAAAATAACACTTACCTTGATAAGCACTGAAAAATATTGAATAAATAAATTTAAAAAGCTACCCCTTTTTGTCTACCTCCAGGAAGACTTCTTTTTGGCTCTTTAAACCTATGGAAATCTTTCTCATTTAAACCTCCCTGAAATACGTCCATTTATTTCATTATTACCGTTTAAATTTGAGCACCTAGGAAATTAGTTTTCATTTAATTGGTTCAAGGCAGCTCATCAGACAGTGGTTACGCCTTATATTCTTCTTTCCCTTAATGATTTGGTATTATAGTAAGTAGATAAACTTTGTATTCACACAAAAGACCAGGATAGCGATGGGGCCATATAGTCTGGAGTAAGGTAATTAATTTGTCTGACAATCACTTTCTTCTATTTTAACATGGGCATTCCTAACATTGATATTCCATAGTTGTATGTGTCAAATAATATGGTGCAAAGTGTACAATAGGTCTTTTCCACATTGTTTTTCCTCATATCATTATGTGTAAATTAGGTACCCCATATATAAAATAGAAAATAAGCAAAAGTACACTAAAATGTTAATAAATAAAAATGCAGGCTATTAAATTTATATCAAATAGGCTGCTATTATCAGCAGTCTTGCACAGACATGAGAGAAATAATGATAATATCTAATACTATTTAGTGCTCACCATCCTCTGCAGACAGTTCTAAATCTTCTATACATATTAAACTGTGAATCCTAAAGGGCCCAATGATTCTTTTATTATCTCTATTTTGCAAAAAGGAAACCAAGTCTCTTTACAATTTGGATAAAACACTGATGTTCTAAACACTAATTTTAGGCATATTTTAATTATTTTTTATTACCTGATACTGATAAATGTGGTTGGCAAGTCCAGATTATTCTTAGAATTATTCTAGGGGCATATTACCTTTTTTTGTTTTTTCTTTCTGTAAACAAGTGGCCTCTCCCCAAGTCAAGGTCCAGCTAAATCTTTGCCGACAGCTTCAGAGTTTTCTCCCAGCACCGGTACCCAGGCTTGACTGACTAATTCTATTTCCTTTCTGTCTTACTGTTTACCCTTTTATCCTTCTTCCTTGTCAGATTTGCCCCATACTGATGTGCAGGATCATCTGGTTGATGTTTTCCAAATCACAACACATCATACTCTTAATTATTCACTGTACTTACAGGGTAGCAAAGGAAGTAGAGAAGGAATGTGTCTCTAGTGCATTCCTTTCATTATATTTAATTTGTACCTCTTTCCTCTTTATTTTTCTTTCTCCTGCTTAAAATTCAAGTTGCTCACTTGATTTATCTACCAATTCTTTTTCAGATACACCCCGTATAGGCCATGAATAATATTACTATTTCCTTCGTGAATTTCCCAAAATCATGCCAAAAAAGGGTCTACTTCACTTTGACATCTGCTGAGGGACATAATATTAATCAGTCATTGAATTGTACTAATGTAATGGAAAGTTATGTTATAAAATATTTGCAAAATTTGAAGAAGGAAATGCACCTATAAAATCAATATACTTATAGATAAAAATTTAATTTATATATATATGTAAATATATATATATATGCTTTTTAAAATTTGAAAGTCATGTTTGTTTACTATATGTTGGTTGGATTTTTACTTACCAGGTGATTATCTCATTAGATAAATTTTCTTATCTCTGAGTAAAAGGTGGAATCTGGTGTTTTCAATACAGTCAAAATAAATGATTAATTTTGCTGCTGACAATTAATGAATTTCACCATGAACGTAGCCCATGTAAGTCCTGGTTCTGGGACTTCCCTATTTCCCTTACAAAGAGAAGCATTCTCTCCTGATTTTTGAAGCTAAAGGGAAATAAAATCATCATTGGAATTTATTTTGAAAAATGCTTTTGTTTGTTTTCTATCCCAAAGTTGTGTAGTCATTGGTTTTAGTGTTGGAAATATATACAAGTTTTCTGTTTAATTTCCGGGGCGCCTGGGTGGCTCAGTGGGTTAAGCCGCTGCCTTCGGCTCAGGTCATGATCTCAGGGTCCTGGGATCGAGTCCCGCATCAGGCTCTCTGCTCAGCAGGGAGCCTGCTTCCCTCTCTCTCCCTCTCTCTCTCTCTCTCTCTGCCTGCCTCTCCATCTACTTGTGATCTCTCTCTGTCAAATAAATAAATAAAATCTTAAAAAAAAAATAGCTGTGCCATGGTTAATAACTTTTTGTACCTGAGGAGTTGGAGCACAAACTAAAAGTTCACTTCTATTCATTATAATAGGCCATAAATCATGTGCTTCCTGTTAAAACAGATTCTGAGGGACAGTAGGGAACAATGTCTCAGCAGAGGTTAAACTAGAAAATGCCAAAGATACTTAAGGCCCCGTTTTGAAGTCTGCTTTAGCACAGAATACATTAATTGAACAGTGTGTGGCAAACTTCTGTGTGTGACTTCATACCCCAATGGCCCTACTTCTTCCTCCAGCTCCTACATTGGCAACTGGTTTCACAGACTTAACGCTGAGAGCTGGTATAAATTTATACACTTCCTCCTACAAATACCACAATGAGGATTTTGTTCAAAAAAATGAAGAAAGGGGCGCCTGGGTGGCTCAGTAGGTTAAAGCCTCTGCTTTCAGCTCAGGTCATGATCCCAGGGTCCTGGGATTGAGCCCTGCATTGGGCTCTTTGCTCAGAAGGGAGCCTGCTTCCTCCTCTGTCTCTGCCTGCCTCTCTGCCTACTTGTGATCTCTCTGTCAAATAAATAAATAAAAATCTTTAAAAAAATGAAGAAAATGTTCCCCTAAAAGAAATAAGATGTTTTTGTCATCCAGGCAATCCAATTCCAAAGAGATATACAGTGGAACACATGGTTAAAATAGCTAGAAAGGGGCGTAAAACTGAGTGAACCTTGCATAGCAAATGATAATACCATTGACCCTTGAACAGCATGGGCCTGAACTGTGAGTTGTGTTACATATGGAGTTTTTTCAATAAATACAGTACAGTACTATATTTTATCTTATGAGTTTCCTACTAATTAGTTTATTTTCTTATAAAAATACAGTATATGACTCATATATCATGTACAACATACAATGTGTTAATTAATCATTCATGTTTTTGGTAAGGCTTCCAGTCTACAGTAGATGATTAGTAGTTAAGTTTGGGGCAGGGCTCAAAAGTTATACATGCCCCTAATCCCCACATTGTTCAAGGGTCAACTGTAGATTATGAAAGGTAAAACTGAGAGACTTTCTGATATGGGTGAACAATATGAACAAAGACTTGAGGCAGACTGAGAATGTCTAAAAATGATGCATTGGTTATGATCAGGACTAGATAAGGAGAGTATGCTGACT